CATTAATTGGTAGATAGCCCACATCTATTGGATGTGAAGGGACATGCATAGGATCATCGTATGGTCATAGAAGACAACATGTAAGGATACTTTAGCAATTTAATTAAAGGGACTATCATCATTTTGTAGGCAACTCAAAGGGACTAGATCATTTTGTAGGCAACTCGAAGGGTCATCGAGAGATTATGATCTTTATTCAAAAGGGACATGATGATTTGATCGAGGGTCTTTTGCTAAAGTATCTCCACTTTCGAGGGACATGACCAATATTTGTGAGGCAACAAGAGAGGTTACCCTAAAGGTGCAAGTGTGAAGAGTGTTTGTTTTCAGTTATTTATCTTGAGAATTAGAGTTTTCTAGGTTCACTTATTAGTCTTGCCATACAAACCCTAGTTATTAGCAGTTAACTATGTATAGAAAAATAAAGTGCGGAATGTAAAGTGAAGAAATTTAAACCCAAGTTATTACATCTTGTGAGAAGTTACATAGTACGAAAAAATGCGGAAAAATAAATCTACGCTATTACATAGGGAATGCGACCTATACATTTGATCTAAGAATTAAGATAAATGAAGAAAAAGAAATAAGAAAATAGAAAAAATAAAGTTTGAAATGTTTTTGTGATCTTGTAGAAACTAATTTAAATGATAATAATTAAATAAACCTAAATTCTAATTAATTTTAATGTTTAAGGAAAAAACCAATTGAATTAATTAATTGATTATATCAAGAAAATTAAATATTAGTTGAAAAACCTGATCCTAATTTATTAGTATTAAGAAAAAAATCAGGTTAGTTTGATGATTAATTAAAAGAATTTAGGGTTAGAAAAGAGAAAAAGAAAAGGAAATTAGGTTAATAAAATAAGGAAAAAGAATGCATGGGGTGGGTGTTGAACCCACACCCCCTGGCCTTCACGTTGCACTACTTACCACTAGGCCAAGCACTCGTTTGTGTTTAGAAATAGAACATAATAATAATATATGAAACCTGCATGAATTTGGAAAATAGCAAAAAAACATTGCAAAAGGCAGGGATCAAACCCACGCCCCATACGTTATACGCCTTCGCCTTAACCAGCGGTACTACGCTCTCATCCGGTTATGCAATAGAAACAAATAAATATAATATAAAAACAGGTGGACCGAAGAGGTGTCAGAGCCCTAGCTCAGGTCGTCTTCTCAAGTGAGCTCTTTTTGTGACCTGCAAAAATAGCAAACATTAGTGAACAAGAAAGACCCTACCCCCTAAATCGATCCTTGTGAATCCAATGGTGGCCTTAGTTTTGGCTAATTCATCCTGTACAAAGAGATATGATGAAAATAAATCAAATCGGTATGATAATGGTGATGGATTATTCTGGCATCATGGGCTTCATGCAAGAGGTCAAACCTGTGTTATTTGCTCAGGAACATGTTAGAATTGTTACTTTCAATCAAAACATCATAGAAATTAAAATACGAAACTCATGAAAAACATGTAACCCACCATGTATGGAATGCATGTTTTATGCTTCTTTAATCATCAAGAACGATCCCAACTTACTCTATGGCACCTCAGGAATCGATTTGAATGGATGGCTTGCTTTGAGAAGGGCTGGAAATTGGATTTCGAGTTGCCCTAGTTTTGACAAAAGTTGATATTTTTGAGAGAGTGTTCTTGAGGCTTTTCCCCCCTCTCTTGTATGAATATGAAGGATATATATAGGAAGAGATTAGGTTAAGAGGTGGGCTTGGACATCATATAAAACCTATCTTTTGATTTTGTTTGAAAATAGGTTGAAATCATACAAACCATGAAGATTTGTTTCACAAATAAGTTCACACGTTTTTTGCATGTTCTTGGGCCCCTAAACAAAATCAAATCTCAAGCCTTTTATGCTTTGTACATTATTTGATTTAAATTTGAATTTAATTGAATAAAATCAAAAATAAAAGAAATAAAGATCACAAAAATAAATGAATGGACTTAGGAGTCTCTTATGAGGTCAAGAACATGTTTGGACTTTAAAAGATAAGCCCATTAGCCCAAAAATTCAAGTTTGCTCAAATTGGATTTTATGCATTTTCTCAAAATTGCCCAACTTGCACAATTCATATCTCACTCAATCCTTATCATATGAAGGTGATCTCAGTATTTTTGGAAACCTGAAGATGTCCCATACAACCTTCATGTTGGTCATTTTTTTCATTTGAAGATTTTATCTTGATGTAAATTGCTTTGATAAAAAGTGTCTTTTTGTTGACTTTTAAAATGACCTGTAATGTTTTGGCCCATATATCTCAAATGAAGCATTTTTTGGCCTTGAGCATAGAGATACAAAGTTGTAGAGAATTGAATTTACTTAAAAATGAGCTTTGGTTGAGAAATTTTTGATGAAGTATGTGAAAGTTATGCTTGGTCAAAATTCAGTTGACTTCTCCTTAAGAAAACCCTAATTTAGTAACTTTTGACTTTTGATGAATCTTGAGTTTTCTTGATGAATCATAATCAACCCTTTATCAAATGAGAATGTGACTTCAAAATGTTGATGTTGACCAAAAATCTTAAATTTTGACTGTAAATTCGTCAAAGTTGACCTTTTGCCCAATATAGTTGATTACCAATCATCTGACTAGTTGACTGAGCAAACTTGTGCTGCAAGGCTTGAAATTTGGCATGAGGATGCTTTGATGCATATGAGAAACCATGAAATCCATCTGAGGCATTAGAAGTCCAATTTTCCTTGAGAGAAGCAAAACCCTAGTTGTAGGTCAACTGCTTAGGAGGAGAGTTTGTCTGATCAATCCTTGAGTAGTTTTGAGAAATTAGGAACCCTAGGAGCATGTGGAGACCTATTGAAATAATTTGTCTTGAATAATGGGAGAGAAATTTTGGGGTACAACAGTGATGTGTGGGGAATGTCTCCTGCAACATCTCATGCTCACTATAAATATTTTGTCACATTTATTGATGATTACAACCGCTTTTCTAGGATATATTTTCTTAGATCCAAGTCTGAAGTATTTTCTATGTTTCAGAAGTTTTTGACATATGTTGAAAATCAATTTCAAGCAAGTGTTAAAATTTTACGATCTGACTCGGGAGGTGAGTATATGTTTCATGAATTTCAGGAATGCCTAAAACAAAAAGGGATCTTGTCTCAACGGTCTTGTCCCAATACCCCACAACAAAATAGGATGGTGGAGCGAAAAAATCGTCATTTTCTTGATGTAACGCGCACCTTACTTCTTCAAGCTTCTATGCCATCCCAATTTTGGATAAAGGCTCTTTCCACAACTATATTCTTGATCAATCGTCTTCCTTCTACGGTTATGGATTTTGATTCTCCCTTCTTCCGCCTTTTTAAAATTCAGCCTAATCATAGTGATTCACATACTTTTGGATGTGTGTGTTTCGTTCACTTACCTTCGTTTGAACGAAATAAGCTTGGAGCACGGCCTATTCAATGTGCATTTATGGGGTATAACAACTCTCATACGGGTTTGTGTGTTATAATGTTTCTAATCACCGTTCTCGAGAATGTTACATTTTTTGATAATCAATATATGTTTCATTCTCTTTCTCCTGCCACAAATGATATTGATATTCTTCCTAATTTTTTTTGTTATGCCTCTATCTATAGAACATTACAAACCAAGAATCACATATGTCAGACAACACAAAAAACAGGTTTCCACTGCCCCTTCCGACACAGATCTGCCACCTGATCCTGAACTGGTCGAACCACAATGTTCTAGTCGAATATCTAAAGCACCAGATAGATATTCCCTAGACAAGTATGATTCTTTCCATACTTCTCTGACTCCCTCACTATCTAGCATATCTATTTCTACTTGTTATACACAAGCTGCTAAAGACGTGCGCAGGATAAAAGCAATGAATGAGGAACTTCAGGCTCTTCAGGAGAATTTTACAAGGGATATTATCTCTTGTCTCCCTGATATCAAACCCATAGGCTGCAAATGGGTGTATTATGTGAAACTGAATTCTGATGGGTCTCTCAACTGTTTCAAGGCTCGATTGGTTGCCTCAGGAAATAAGCAGGAATATGGAATTGATTATGATGAAACATTTGCATCGGTTGACAAAATGACATATGTTCGTACGGTACTCTCTATAGCCGCTTCTATTGGGTGGTCTCTTCATCAATGGGATGTGAAAAATACCTTTCTTCATGGTAACCTGACGGAAGATATTTATATGACTCCTCCTCAAGGTTTATTTTCTTCATCTAAGGGTGTGTGCAAGCTCAAACGCTCCTTACACGGTTTGAAACAAACGCCTAGAGCATGGTATGAAAAATTCCTCTCTACTTTACTTGGGTTCTCCTTTACTCAGAGTCAGTATAATTCTTCTCTATTTATTCATAGAACGTCTACTATAATTGTCTTACTTCTTTTGTATGTTGATGATATGATTATTATTAGTTCTGATAATACTTTTATTCAAAGTCTTAAACAATACTTACAAGCATCATTTCATATGAAATATCTTGATAATTTACATTATTTTATTGATCTTGAAGTTCACTATTCATCCAATGGTATATTCTTCTATCAACACAAGTATGCCACATATTTAATTTCTATGTTATAGGTGAAAACATAACTGTATTCTATTGATTGAAACTCTTACAATGGTGAAAACAGAACAAGAAATGATAAACCAGAGTTCTATAAACGGAGAATTGATTCTGGACTAGAGAATAACTATTCTAACAATATTTGTGAATGAATTCCCTAATCCCTTTCTCTCTCTTTTATAACAGAATATCCCTTAAATAAAGGAAATATCCTAACTAACTCTTATTAGACTAAGGTCCAGAGACTCATGGTCCCATCAATATACCACTAGGTGGTTAACACCAACTTGTTTTAAATTTATTTTCTAACAAAACATTGAAGCAGAAAACTCAAATGGAAAATAAGTGCTAGTTTTATATTTAAAACTACCAACAGAAAATGAAAACAAAAGCAACATTGTTTGTTTCAAGAAATCTAATCTTCACCCAGAGGTGTACCAGGGACAACTGGAACAAGATCTCTGCCACCAAATATATGTCTCATGAACTTATAATCAAATTGTCTCCAATAGTAGTGAACCGTAGTAGCAGGATATCGCATCATCAAACTCAGTCTAGTTCGTCTTTGTAGTGGTTCATCCATGGTTTCGTTAATGGAATCATCGCCGTTAAGGAATAGTAATCTCAGCTCATCATGATAATCATTGGAATCCGAAACGGTTTGTCTTGAATGCCTTAACTGAACAACCTCGATCAGAGGTTTTGTTATGGAACCAAATACCTGTTTGCATTGGAAGCTACCATATCAGTATCCATTTATTTGATTCTGGTGCAAAAAAAACAATTATAAATATGAAACCTACCATAGTACTGAATAAGACGAGGGTTATCGTTGAGGTGATCATTAATGCAGAGTCTTCCGTCGATGTTACCTCAGAGATTAAAAACTACATCGGAGATTGAAAACTAAATTTGAGAGCAGAAAAGATCTAATTTCTGAGTTACAACAGTTCTTTTTTTATAGAAAGAGTCAAGTTAATTATATGCATAGTATCATGTACTAGTACTTGCCTGGTTGCAAGACAATGCAATAGTCACTGCACCTCTCATTAGGCCGGCCCACCATATTACAAACTGAGATCGAAACTCGATTCTTGTATTCTCTCTTGTCATGAAGCAATTCGCAATGTTTGCGATAGGGAACACTAGAGATGCTCTTCCAATCAAAACCAATGCAATGAATGTTGAACTGACAGCAATTAAAGTTCCTACGCTGCTCCACACAAATATGGTAATGTGTTAAGAAAATGAGTAAGGATTGGTTTTATTGAGATTAGGTAAGTTTTCAACTACCTGGCTATGCTTGTTTTCCATTTGTCAATGTCCAAAGCATCCATGCCAACATATAGAAATATAAAGGTTTCGGAAATGAATGAGATGGTTGCAAAGGAGTGCCTGAAATTGATCAAACATTATATACCAATCTTTTCTAGATAAACATGTTTAAGATAATGTCCTTACTTTGTTGTTATCCTCGAGTTTTCTGTAACATTGTGCCATGTGTAGTGTGACATAACAATGCCACAGACGAAGATAGTTAAAATCCCACTGAGTTCCAAAAGCTGCAAAAGCCACACAAATACATTTGTTTAATTATTCATTTCATTGTTTTCTATTCTAACTAAAATTCAATTGTAGATGACATTTTTTACCTCAGCTATCATATACGAAAAATATGCCATCAACATCATAAGTGCAACTTCGCGATCAGTAGAGTGCCTGCAAATCGAAGTTTGAACAACAATGTCTATTCGATAGGAAAACTTTTAAAACACTTATACCTTCCAAAGTAAAATGTTTTAATCAAATAAGCACTTAAAAGTCCAACCTGAAAAGTCATGAGATATAGCTAGTTAGAATAGAACTGTGACACCACTCACAACAATAAGATCTAAAATTTGATTTCAATTTGAACTCACTACAATGCCAAGGACAGTACTAGTGCAGAAGAGGTAAAGAAAGGTTCCCAACAATTCCAAAGCTGTAACAGCATTGATGGTGCTGAAATTTAGTGATTGGACTGAATTGAAAAGAACAATAGACATAGCATCATTTACTACTCCCTCGCCGAATACAATGCCGTAAAGCAAAGGTGTTTCTTCTTGACTCAGAACCTTCACCATGAAAAGGAAAAAGGGAAAGCATTAAATAGTCAATATATTTAAATTTTGACATTTTTTTTCATGTTTGTTTAAGCTTAAGGTTAGAGTTAGAATACACCTGTAATGTACACACTGAGTCTGTTGCTGACAATATGGCACCAATGGCTACACATAAGTTGCACAAACAATCAGACAAAGACTTTCATCATTTGGTCGGTACATGTATTGTGATACTGATTGTGTCCGTCGTTGTGTGAAGGCGATTAGTTTTAAACAAAAACTAGATATTTTACCTAGGATATCTTTGATGTCCAGGTTAGCTATGCCAGTCCTATTAATGAGTAGAAATGCACCTAGAGAAGTTGGAGAAATAGAAAACTATGTTGATTTGATTCCACAGAGGTTGAGTAATTTGAAATTCAAAAGGGTTGCATTGCACTACTATATATGATCTTACCAAGAGATATGAGACAGAATGAAATAACTGTGCCAAGAACACCAAACAGAAGAATATAATTGAAATTCCTGAAGAACAGTTTCTTCTCGATTTTGAAACTAAAATACCATTGAAGTTATTATACCAAAGAAATAAAATATGTTCCTTCGGGCACATCTGATAAAATTGGAACGATACAGAGAAGATAAAAGAAATAAAAATGAGGTTAATAAAGAGGTAGAGAAAGATGATAATCATATTTACCCTGCATTGAAGATGATTGGTGGAAGCAAGTAAATGAAGAACAAGTCTTCACTGAATGTCAGAATATCGATACTACGGAACTTAGTCACCAGCAGCACCACAAGTCCAGAACACAAACCCTGCATTATATTAGACCAAGCCAATAAAATTTTGTAACAGTTCGAGAAAGAAAAATACTTAAATATGAGTTAAGTCTATACTAGAAGGAGGGCAGTGATGGATTCGTTGGCCCAACGAGTCTCTTCGAGAAGATGGCCGATGATGATGCAAGCGCAAAGGAGTGCGAAGAACACGCAGAGTGCAACAATTGTGCTTGTGGTTGTGCTGCTTAGATGTGAAGTTGAAAATTGAAGTGTTGAGGATAACACATCCATCTTGAACATATTCATTCACTCACTCAAGTTGAAAATAATGAGTTTGATTAAATAATGTGAAAACATGTTGATTTTGAAGGACATTATGGAGGGAAACGAGACATGCTGGTGATTTGTCACAGTCTAGGCATAAATATAGCACAGACATTGGAAGACAGTGCTAAGTGGAACAACCAACTACTATAAAAAAGTGTTTGTTTGTAGTGTTTGTATGTAGTGTTTGTTTGTAGTGTTTGCTTGTAGTATTAATTGAGCCATCCATGGTAGGTGTAGAAGAATGCATTGATGATAAAGATTCTGGAGAGGAATATTGCTACTATGAAAAAGTGTTTATATTGTTGTTTTTTCTTTTTTAGAAAGTTTAGTAGCAACTAACATTTTCCTTCCTTTAACTTGTTCTTCGAGATTCGTCTTTTTTCTCTTTCACTAATGGAAGATAACAACTCTCTTTCTTCTCCTCATGTTCTAAAATTCAATGGCTTAAATGATTATTGGGTCACGATGATGGAAAACTTGCTCAGAATATAGGAATATTTGAGTATTGTTGAGAACGGTTTTGTCGGCAGCGCTGATGCAACTCAAGATGAATGCAAGGTTGTCGACTGACACGCCGCAAACTTACGGCATTGTGAAGTAGTATAAAAAGGTTGTCGAGGTCTCAAAGACCGAATATTTGATTACTGAATATTCAGATCCGTATACAATATCGTCTCTTACTTTTCGTCATGAAACGTTACTCTCTTGTTATGATGTGATACACTACTTAATGCTTGGTTCATATTTCGAGTTTGATTGCGATGAGAGCATTTTAGCGTTGGCAATTGCTGTTTTCATGTACATACGCGTGGCATCTTGCAATTCATTGTCGTTTTGTTACATTACCTTTATATTACGTTGGCTCTCGGTGTGTTTGCTTTATTGTCGTTGTGTTAAGTTATGCACCATTGTATTACAATTCGCATGTCACACTTTGCACGATAATTTACTTTATTTGTTGTTCATATTTCGGTGTAATTGCGATGATCACGCTTCGTGCTATCAATTCGTTGCTTCTCTTGTTATTTTTGTAGGATTTTAAGTCCACCACCTTTCAATTTATTCTCAATATCTCTATATTGAAAATATATCCTCTAGAATGTGACCCTAATATCGTTTATTGAAATCAATCGATCCAAAGAACTACTTAGTTGGAAAAGTTCAATACTGTATTTTATGGATACAAAACATCATGATTCATGAATTAGTCTATATTACTTCCTCCGTTCGAAAATAAAAATCTTTTAACATTGTAACAAACACATTAAAAGAAATAATGAGTGAAAAAATAAATATAATAAATTTATAAATTGTCTTTAAATATTATTAATTACTTTTACATTGTTATAAAAATAATATGAAATTTAATATCTTGAGAGTAGTGCAAACATAATGTGTGATTGTTTACCCGGCATTGAAGATGATTGGTGGAAGCAACTAAATGAAGAACAAGTCTTCACTGAATGTTAGAATATCAATACTACGAAACTTGGTAACAAGCAGCACTACAAGTCCAGAACACAAACCCTGCATTATATTAAACCAAGCCAAGAAAATTTTGTATCAGTTTGAGAAAGAAAAATACTCAAATATGAGTTAAGTCTATACTAGAAGGAGGGCAGTGATGGATTCGTTGGCCCAACGAGTCTCTTCGAGAAGATGGCCTATGATGATGCAAGCACAAAGGAGTGCGAAGAACACGCAGAGTGCAACAATTGTGCTTGCGGTTGTGCTGCTTAGATATGAAGTTGAAAATTGAAGTGTTGAAGGTAACACATCCATCTTGAGTTTGATTCTTAATTAGTTGTGATGAATCTGATTAAAGAAAATGAAAACATGTTGGTTTTGAATGACAAATAAGGAGGGACATGAGCCATGTTCATGATTTAGTACAAATGATATGTCAATAGCATAGACATTGGCTGTTGAGTGTGACAACCAACTACTTGTCATATTTTGTTGTTTTTTATGTTGAAATACCGTTAGAGTAACCTTCAGATGGTGTAAACTTTAAACTAACATGGTGTTTGTAGTACAGATTCTAACTCTGGAAACTGTGCTTAGATGGTATTAATTGAGCCATCCATTGTGGGTGTAGAAGAATGCATCAATAATCAAATGTACATGAAGAATGTTAAAGATTGTGGAGAGAAATATTGATACTAAAAAAATGTTATATTTAAGTTCTACAATAATCCTTTCTAAAGTGTGTGCATTGAGATGTATTTTTTTAATTTTATTGATAATCAATCTTACTCAATGAAACATAAATCAACTACTTTGTCTATTAGTTTGACTCCTATTGTTACAAAATAGTACTAACCTTCATATATTGCTTTATAATTAATTATGTTTGTTTTTATAATGAGATTTTGCTCATGTAAGACACCTCAGGAGTAAAATTGGCTATTGGTGCAAGTTACACCAACAAGTAGCATTAGATCCAATCCAGAACTATTGTGATAAAAAAATTGTAGTGTTGTATTTAATCTTTTAGAAAAGTGAGCCGCAACTAACGTTCTCTTTCTTTTTACTTGTTCTTCGATATTCGTCTTTATTTATTAATGGATGATAACAACTTTTATCCTTCTCCTGTTCTGAAATTCAATGGCTTCTTGTTCATTGAGTCATGATGATGGAGAATTTGCTAAGATCAAAGGAATATTGGAGTATTGTTGAAAATGGTGTTGTCGGAGGCACTAATGCAACCCCGGATTAATGCAAGTTTGTCGATGAAAGTAAACTTAAAGATTTCAAGGCTAAAAACTTCTTGTTTCAACGATCAGTCGCTCTATCATAGAAATTATTCTTGTTTGTGACACGACCAACTATATCATAAAAAAATTAAAGTTTAATGTTTTTTTTTTTTTTTAAGTTTTCATTATTTCATGCTATGTTTGTTGAATTTTTCATTTTAATGCGGTGTTCGTTGATTTAAATTGACATTTTTACTTCAATTTTTTACGGATCTGGTGAAGACTTGAGCATCAATATTACAGATCTGGAAATATGAATATTTCGATTACTTTTATTTTGTCTTATTTGTAGGTATTTTCATGTTATCGTTGTACGCTATTAACTAAGGTGTTTCCATTATTTCGAAATGGGTCATCCTGACATCCACTCATATTTAAGTCTATATACAATTAATTAATTAATTAATTAATTAATTACTAAATAAAAATCTAATTAGCATTTTAAACTTCATTTGACTAATTATTTAATTAAAAGTCTTAATTTGATAAATAATTAATATAATTCAAATAAATATATTTACCCATATAATAATTATTAAAATATAATAATTAAATAATATTTAAATATAAAATATTTCAAACATGCCCTTCCATCTTCCGAGTAGTATTCATTGTCAGAAACTTCTACAAATATTTATTGACATCTTCATTAATTTTTTTAATGAAATATCTCTTCTCGAGTTGGCGGAAGATGGTCAAATGTAACTGAAAATATGGAGCATTCATTGGTTGATTTACTATAGTCAGTCTACCTCCTAGTGCATTTGTTTTGCCATAATCACTCAATAATCTTTCAGGTTGTGGATCTTCAGCCATTGTGGGTTCTTCTCTTTCTGACTATGTATTTTAATGGTTAGAGTTGTTTTTCTCGTGATCTATTATTTTTTGCAATCGAGCTTTTCTGATCTGAGCATGTATGGTTCTATCGATTTCTGTGTCAAAAGAAAAATTAGTTGAGGATTCTCCTTGCATACAAATGTCAGAAGCAGATTAGTATTAACAAAATAATAATAAAATGAAATAAAAATTTTAGTTGCAGAGTAAATTTTTTTAAACTAAAATAAAACTATAACTCTATAATCTTTGACAGTCCACGGAAACGACGCCAAAAACCTGATTGGTAAATTAGCAAGTGTACTAATCTGTCAAAATAGTAATAATAGAAAAATTCTAAAATATGAGAAATTAACTCGCCACCCCTCATATTATACATGACACCCCCAAAGTGTATGAAAAGACCAAATTGCCCAAATCCAAGTCATTCACCACAAATTTCAAATTCACGTAGACAACCGAATTTTTCAAATTTTTGGGCAATATCGGAAATTTCGAAGGCAATACCGGAAATTTTGCGAACAAGTGAAAATTTACGGTATTTTTGTGAAATTTTCGGTACTTTGTACCGGAAATTTCAAAATATCTAGTATTTTCGTACCGGAAATTTCGAAATATCTGGTATTTTCATTTATCATTTATACTAAAATTTTTGAAATTTCGGATGCGTCACATAATATCGGAAATTTTAAAATTTCCGGTAGTTCAATTTTTTTGAAAAATTACTAGAAATTTAGAAATTTTCGTTATTTTTATATTTTCCTGATATTTTCTTATTTTGCAGTGAGGATCAGAGGCATAAATGGTTCTATTGTGGGACGAACCACTGATAGAGTTGATGTTGAAGCCCGTGCTGAAGAGGCATATGCTTCAGAGCTACGGGATGGATGTCATCCTCCGACCAGTCCTCACCAGAAACAGATGGCTGAGAAGAATGTGCAGTTTCGTGCACCCCATCGTCAGGGTCATAGAGTATCCACTAAGGATGTGCAGGCTCACCTCCCCCCGTGAGATCATGGATACAATCGTCAAGGTTCAACAACCAGGGCAGTGCAAGGTCGGATACCTAGAGTGGTTTCACAGTGTGTCACACACTTAGGTCATACCACCAGCTGCAACATCTGATGTTTCAAGGCCGTCTGGTGCTAGCTCATCTACCGAGTTACTACCACCACCTGTAGGAGATCAGGACAGCCGAGCCTAGTTTATTGCAGTTCATGATAACAATCTCATGGGTTTGGTAAACCCATATGGTGAGAGCTATAGAGGTTTAGCTAAGTTAGCCAACGTAGCCCGTGGAGGTCCTATGTAGATCTATTTTATTTTGGTTGTATAATATGTATATTTTGTGACAAACAAACATCTTATTTATTGCATATTTTTTGGTGA